AAATTCTCAGATAGGCTTTGCACAAGCTCGTGATAGTGCGGGTAAGCCAATTGGTAAGCGAGTGCGTACGCTTGTATCGGAGGAAGAACAACAAATATCTCATGAATCATTAGCATCAACTTTTAATGATTGATTGAAATTCATTACAAATTTAATTGATGTTTAATAATCTTTTCGTATTTCAATTATATTATTCCTGATAAATTAAACTATATTTTGATTAAAATCTACTAAAAGAAAGAACAATTCAAATGGCAATAATAAAATAATTATCCTTAATTAGATATGCAAAAAAAAAAAATTAAAAGTGAGAAAATGATCAGTTCGTATTTGCTAAGTATCAAAATTATTATTAAATCATTTATTCGCTTGACAATTTTTTTTTTTTTTTTTTTTTTAAAAAAGGATAAAAATTTTTACTGTTTACTGACAATGAATGATATCTTATCATTGTTTAAAAATTATTCAACATATTCTGTGAATAAATATCAATTATTATGCTTTTGTATTCCTTTTTTTTTTTTTTTTTTTTTTTTGCATTAAAAATGTTCATGTTATCAGTAACTGATAAGGTAAGAACTGCACAATTAACTGTTAATAAATTAACGATTGGTATCAAAATTTTTTGACTTATCATTTATTTAAACACTCCTTCTTAAATAATTTGCAAAGTTATGACTTTTTTTTTATACAAAAGAATAAAATAAAAAAAAAAAAAAAAGACATTTATTTTTGCAAAATAGCAATTTCAGACATAAATTCATTGGCATTTGAAATATGCAACTATAAGTAAGTAAAGAAAACATTGCCCACTAAACAATGAATGCAAAAATGAATTGTTATCAGACTATCAACGAAATGCAGACCTAATCAAAATACTTAAATATTGAAATTAGTCGTTTCATTATCATTAACGATTATCATCTAATTAGTCAATCATTTTTAAATAAGATATAACACCAGAACATTACTTTCTAATAAGTTTTCGAAGTTTTTTTTTTTTTTTTTTTTTTTTTTGAACTTTTTACAAATTTTTTTTTTATAAATTTGTTAAAAAAATATTGTTTGAAATTTTCAGCATAAATTTAAAGAACGAAATGCTTTATTTTCTAACTGAACAAAAAGCAAAAGTACTTTTATTAGTTCTCCAATTACCGATTAATTCAATTAACACTCATTTCTATGAAAAAAACATAACAGTGAGTCTGTTGTTTATTATTATTCGGAATTTTTTTTTTTTTTTTAGCTAAATATCTTTTAATACTTTCGTCGCTTAAATAATACAAATATAAATACATAAATGTATATTTAAATGTAAATGTAAATATGAATATAAATATAAATGTAGGTGAATAAATAAATCAATAAATAAAGTTTTTTGTTGTTTTTTTTTTTTTTGTTGTTGTTAATAATACCAAAATTCAAAAAACCTAAAGCACAAAAATTTCAATTAATCATCGAGTATTCTTTTCCACTTAGAAAAATTACATAATCATCTTATCATTAATATTTTTGCTTAATTAACGATTGCAGCAAATGCAATAAGAGAGATAGAGACGATTGTTTAGGAAATCAAATATTTAGGAAAAATTAAAAATCTATTAAAGCCTTGTGTGAATTGCACTACATTCAATGTATTTTTACTATTTTTTCCCATCATTTATGTCAAAATAAAACAAAAATTCAACAAAAAAAAACACTGAAAAAAAAAAAAAAAAAGAAAGAAAAAATTTAGATTCCTAAATGATATGGAGGAAACTACAATAAATTTTATTGTACCATTAAAATTTCTTTGCATATCTAAATAAATTTTAAAAAAAAATAAAAAAATAGAAATTTTATATGTGCATGAATGAATGAATGTTGACAAATTGCAAGAAATTATGCGACACATATTGCTATAACAATAAATAATGCCATAGCATAGACAATAAAAGAAGGAAATATTAATGAAAAGAAAATAATAATAAAAACAAAAGCAGATGAAAAAGAAATATGGGAAAAAAAAGGAATGGAAATAAAAATGAATTGATTGATATAAAGAGATATTTTTTTTTTTTTTTTTTTGCATATATTTAAGTTTTAACTTTTCAGAAATTTTTACCTTGAATTATTTTGTTATTTTTGTTGTAAATTTTTACAATATTAAAAAATAAAATAAAATAAATTGATGGAAATGTTTCATTGTTAATTTCATGCATATATTATTTGGAAATGTTATGGTTCATTTCAATTTTTTGCATAATTTGTTTGATAATGCATAAAGGAATCAATCATGAAATATGGAAATTCATTAATCATAATCGTTAGTAATTTTCTTACAGTTATTGGTATGAAATATTTGCCTCATCTAATGAAATAAATTTTTAATTAAATTCGAATTTATTTACGAAATTAAAAATTTCCATACTTATTTAATACAACCAAGAAATTTACACATATTTGCAATTTATTTGTTTATTTGACTGATTGGGTTAAAATTCAAAAAAAAAAAAATTACTAAACTTTGTGAACAAATCATTTGGTAAATTTTAGATAATCGATGCGAAGGCAATTTCACATTATACGATAATAGTTACAAACTTTGTTACACAGTGTTAGAATTATCACAGGTATGTCATAGGTCATTTATCTGTCCACTTCCTCTTTGTGTATGAAATAGATTATATCGTAGTTCATAAAAGATAAATAAAAATCATAAATGATCAAAAAATCCTAGAATATTTCAAAGTTCTTTTTTTTTTTAATTCATTAAATCAATATTTGATTCGATGAAAAGATTGTAATTGATTGATTAATTTAGTAATCTAATTAGATAATACATACTTCTTGTCAAATATATTTATAACACATCGTAGATTTCAAATTGGACAAATGATCGATGTTTAGCTATGGATAAAACAAATCATTTCATTCATGAAGCAAAAATTCTTGATCAGAGACAATTTTACAGTATTTTTGATACTTTACAAAAAGGTTTCTAATATACAAAGATATTTTGCGAAATGTTTTTCAAATTTTAATATTTAAAAAAAGAGAAAATAAAATATTTTAATTTCGTTTTATGTTTTCTGTTTATCTCTCCCTGTCCGTCTATCTCTTTGTATAAGTTATTGCTGCAATTTTTAAACTTAATATATTTCACATCAATTAATTTTCTTTACAATAAATAGTATCCAATATCGTAGTATTTTTACATTATAAATTTATGAATTCATTTCCTAGCGAATAATTTAAAATTACCTTACATGATATAACTAAATATTATCTTATTCAGATCATCTTTTCTAGTTAATTTCGGAAAATTTGTTAATCTGTATTATCACAAACTTTTTGTATATCTTAGAATATCTCAAAAGTACTTTATTTGTTGAAGTAATTACAGTTTTTATTATCTCAGATCAGTTCGATTAAATAATTACTAGTAAAGTAATTAATAATAGTTAAAATCAAAAAGACTACGAACAATAATTAAAATCAAAAAGACTACGAACAATAATTTTTATGTTAAAATGAAAAAAAATTCAATAAAAGAACAGTTTTTTTGCAGAAAAACCTGCCTTCTCAAATGGTTCGATGGAAGTTCTAATTAGTATAACATATCGCCGTGGCGATGGCTTTCGTTGGAGGGATGATACCGTACCATATGATTTGAGTTTTTTGAAATTTAATCCAATCGATAATTTAAATGATGATGATAATCTGATTGAAAATTACTGCTTTCATTTTTCAATTATTGTTGGTAAGTGAATAAGATATAAAACAAATAATTTATTAAACAATATAATATCATTTTATCCTTTATGATTAACAAATTTTTTCATTTCTAATTTTTCTTTAAACATTTATAATTACACTATAAATATATTTCAGCAGTAAAAGAGACATCGAACGAAGATGAAATTTTGCTGACAATGCTATGAAATTGAATTTAAACAAAAACAAAATGATATAAAATTCAACAATTTTAGATAAAAATTCGAAAGATGGTTATGGAACAAAATGGTATAAATGTGATGAAATGAATTCAATTAATTACACCAAAAAATTATTTTATTTACTTTGCTCATATAGTAAAGTAAGAAATTTGCTATTATTGTATATTTAACAGATCGATCAGGTATATTCTGACATAACTAAAAAGGTAGAATATTGAATCAAGAAAACTGAAAATCCGGAAAAATAATCGCCCAGAATCGATTATTACTAATAAGATAAAACATTGCAACGAGAAATCTAAAAGTTCGAAAAAAAATAATTACTTGTAAAAGAGAAAATTACAACTAATAATTGCATGTAAATAAAAAAAACTTTATGAACTTAGAAGATGAATTTATTCGACATGATAATGTAATTATTTCTTTTATTAAAGAACTTTGACCATTTGTTATAATATTTCAGGATAATGAAATTCAGAAAATGATTCAAAGACGTATATTTCTTTTTCTGATTTTTTTATTTCATTTTTAATTTCAATTTTATTTATAATGAAATTCATTAGCTAACTTTAGTCTTTAAAGTGAAATGATGTATTTTCAGCATTTCAAATTATAGCTAAGCAAAAAGAATGTCTAAGGACTGAAATACCGGTTAAAATCAATAATATGTATTTGTGTTATGTACATATCATCAAAACTTACTTGGTAATATTAATTTTGATATAAATATAATTAATTATTTACCAATTTAAATTAATATGTGTAAAAGAAAAAAGCAGGAAAAAAAAAAATAAATTTTTCGCAGATACAATTTAAAGACAAAAAAAGTATTTTGGTTCATAATTAAGGAAGAAATTTGTTTAATCTTTAATTAATTAAAAACAGCTAAGCGATGAATTATTTAATTATTAAACTTTGTATTCAATAAATCTAAAAAGATTAGTTCGTGCATATGATTGAATCATTCCATTCTAATTCTTCAAAATTTATTTAATAATTCACACTTCCTTTTTCTTGTTTTCTTTTTTTTTTTTTTTTTGTTTTATTAAATTTGAATTTGAGATGAACAATATAACAAGTGCTGACACTAACTTATGTCATGAATATTCAAATGAATATGAACGTGAAACGGAACATTGGAATTCTCTTTCACCAGCTGCTATACCGAACAAAAATTTGCTACGATTGTTGCATAAAGAAATTTTATCCGGTTAATCTGTTCAATTATAATCATAACTTTATAATTTAAAAAAAAAAAAAGTGATTTCAATGTGATATTATTGATAAGTTGAAAAAAAAAACTTCATTTTGTCATCCATTTTTTTTCGGATAAACGAAATGAAATTTATTTGAACTATAATACATCATTCCTGTTCCTATTAGTTCTAATAATTGAAATACAATCAAACATATTACTGCTGTTAGCTCTGATAATTGGAAAACAATCAGGCACATCTTTTATTAATTCCAATAATTCCGGTTAGATTATACATTGAAATATTGTTTGATATTTGATATACTTTCAAAGTATTCATAATCGTTAGAGATTTAAATGAAATATCGATTATTTTGAAAGACATAAGATAAAAAAAAGTAAATAAAAAGTCAATAACTCAAGCAAATCTTACAATTTTTATGCAAATAAACAGTAATTTATTCGAGCAAACAAAATCTTTCGTTTGATAAGCTAAAAAGATCATTTCATACAAATGCATTGAAAACTTTTATTTATCTTTTTTTAACTTTGAAATTGCTCAAAAAAATTTTTCCTATTTTGTACTCATTTATATTTTGTTTTATGAAAGTAAGCAAAATAAAGAACAAAAATTAAAACTTAAGAAATTTAAAGTAATGGTATAATCATTCTGTTAATAAACTATTTTTGAAATTTCAGTTCATCGTCAATTTGATAAAAGAAATCATGGACTTATGATTGGCTTAATTTATATGCACAACCAATATCATTGGATGGATGGTATTTCAATTATACATCCATCATTGGAAAGTTTAATTGCTGGGATAGCTGCTGCTGATAACGAATGTTATCGTTTTATGCTTTTTCAATGTAAACAAAATTTTTAAATTTCATTTTATAAATATTCATCAAAGGTTTATTTGCATAATTTTGCTTATTGTTTATTTACGATAAGTTATTACTACAGTATTCAGTTTAGAAATCTTTTCATTAGTTCGCATATTTTAGTTTTTAAAATCTAAAAAAAAAGTGAAGTGAAATTGAAGAGGAAGAATAAAACGAGATAAAACGGATAATAAGATAAAATTTATCTTATCACTGAGTAGTAATACACTTGCTAACACATATCATCAAATGATAATGGTAAACAAAACATTGTTATGCTAAAGCAAAATAAGAGATGTATAAAGAAAATAAGGAATAAATGATTTTATTAAAGCACAAAATAGTATTTTAATATTCATATTTATAGCTGTTCCTGATTATATGGTACCAGTACCATGCAATAATAACGTTATCACTTATGATATACTCTGTAAATATGTTGGTATTTCTTGTTTTTCCTTTAAAAATCAAATTACTTCCATTTATTTTTTATCGTTACATTTTTCTGTCAACAAATAACTGATCAGTTGCGTTCGGATTAATTAATTAATTAATTGATCAAATAAATAAATCGAAATTGGGTTAATTAATTAATTAATTAATTGGTTAGAGAAAAAATTGGCGAAAGTTTTTTGATCATTCACTGCTAAATTTATGAATGCATAAAATGACATATATTTTTGATAAATCTTAATATATTTTGTTAAAATGTTTTGTTTTGCTTTTTAAACCTAACTGTTTGAAAATTCCAAGTACACAATGATATGTATTTTTTAAATATTTAGCAAAATTATTCAATCAATCTTTAAACGTTTAATAATCAATCACAATTTTACAATCATATGAATGTATGTCAAAAAAAAAAAGAAAAAAAGGGAAAAAAAAGTTTAATTATTTAATTAAACATGAAGTAACATATTTTATTTTATTTAACATGAAATTAGTTTAATTAATGACCATAAATTCCATCTACAATTTTCAGAAATGAAACCTTCTCATGGATACATTTCAGGGATATTTTCGCATAAATAATAATTACAGATTCTTGACAAACAACCTGACCATATAGGTAAAAATGAACTGATAGAAGAAATCAAAATATTGATTGATCACGAACCAGAAAATAATGCTATTGGTATGTGCATTCGTGATAAATTTCTGGAAGATTGTAAATGTAAAAAATAAAATTAAACTAACGAAAAAAAAAAGTGTATGAGTATTATTTAAATAAATATATAAATGTTTTCTTGAAAATATTAGTTAAAACTAAGTCTCACTTCTTTTTTAAATGAAAATAAACATTTTGATATGCTTTATTACAAATTGAATTTAACACATACAAAAAAAAAATTATCTAATGGTTTTTTTTTAATATAATATTTTAGATTATTTTTTTTTTTTAATATAATATTTTAGATTATTTTTTTTTTTTAATATAATATTTTAGATTTCTCTAATTAATTTTCTATTTTCTATTTTTTTTTTTTTTTTTTAGAAAATGGTGCTAAAAGAGTTCAATTTGATCAATTAATAATGATATTTTTATTAATCATTATTGATGTTAGTTACATTTGTGAACTTATACAAAGTGAAAACTTTATATCAATTAGAATCTTATGATTAAAATGTTTCCTTGGATAAAGTTTAAAGCAATTGTGTTTTTGTTAACAAAAATATCTTTTGTCACAATATTTGCTCTATTTTTTAAAGTAATTTTATATCTACCACATCATAATATATGGATTGGCATTTGCATATTTGTTAATGCTTCTTATTAATTATCGTATAAATGAGAAATAACACTGGAAATAATAACAGAACTTTTTGAAATCTTCCATTTTGATAGTCAAATTTTTCACTCACACAAGTTTACAAGAACTCTTTCATATTGGTTTTTCCATAATTGATCTTTTAACTATTTTAATTTACCGAATCTATAATTTCTTGATGACCTGATACCATTTGCGGTGATTGTTTGATGATATGTAACATTTAATCATTATCATAATTAAATAATAAAAATACTCAATTGTAACATTGCAAGAAATTTTTCAAACAAATATTCATATGTTGGATTTTTCAGTTCATGATATTCCTACTAATGACTACTTAAATTTGAATTTAAATTCATTCATCATTAGGTTGGATTTTTCAGTTCATTCCTACTAATGACTAGTTAAATTTGAATTTAAATTCATTCATCATTAGGTTGGATTTTTCAGTTCATAATATTCCTACTAATGACTACTTAAATTTGAATTTAAATTCATTCATCATTACTCTTATTTGCTTCTGCTTAATTCATCCACTTGTTTCTTTAGACCATCCAATTACTATTTTAATCCAATTTTACAACAATCCTAATCATTTGACAATTTAGCAATGACTCATACGGTTGTCTTCATCACCTGTCTTACATTAGTACTTTCTGCAACGCATTGTTTAGAAAGTTCATTTTTTTTTCATGAAATATTTATTTCTTTATTTTTTTTTTGGCTTTCTTAAAGCTTATGCTAACATATCATGCATGAATGAAAACAACACTTTATCATATCAATGATATCAGTCGATCCTTTATCAAATCTAGTATGCTATTTCAGAAACATCCATTAACTTTTTACACATTCAACGATAAATTTCGAAGAAAGTTGCGTTTGATGAACATTCCTTAAATGATTTCTTTTTTTTTTTTTTTGATGATAAAAGTCATAAAAATATGTTTAATTTAATAATAACAGGAAAAAAAACTATATTTCAGTACATAATTTCAGGACAGGACTGTGAGCGTCATTATCAATTGAAACAATTTGGCGCATATACTTACTGTTACAGAATGCATGTGATCGATAAATCAGTTAATTAATCCATTTGTCACATTTGTCTTTTCAAATTAGATGTTCATATCATTAATATAATTTATTTATTTATTAGCATTCAATTATTTATTAGCACTAAAAATTAGTTAAAATTATGCTAAAAATAGCTTATCAATTAGCTATGTTCCTATTAAACATATAACTAATGCAATTTAATTTTATAAAAAAATTCTGCTACTGTTGCATAGTCTTTTAAATTTAATAAATTTCTTTTAAAGGATACAATTAAAATCATTGATGAAAGTCATTGTCGTAAAACATCACGTTTTTCAACAATTTCCAGCATTTCGCTTCGTAACAAAGAGGAATATGAATTTGTTAAAATGCTTTATCGATGTATTATTATATTTCTAATTTTAATTTTTTTTTTTAAACTTCATTTTTTATTTTTCGTCCTTTTCAAAATTCTACAATATTAACTCTAGTGAAAAATATTTGACAAATTGTTCCATTTAATTTCATTTCATCTTTTGCTATTTTAAAAGTAAACTTATTAGCTAGCTATCATATTCAATTGACTAAAAAGATAAATTAGCCTACTTCCAGTCCAAATATTACTGCTTATTCTAAAACTCTATGGTAGCATTAAGCATTTCATCAATTGGTGAGACCTATACCATTACTGATCGGATTGACATACAAGAATGGTCGTTTTCATTGGTTTGATAGGTCACCGTTCAACTACACTGATTTTTTGGGTATTGGTTATAAGTCACATTTTTCACTGTACAAAAAAGGTGATTGTCGACGAATTTTTCTTCATAGCCGAATAATACGTACGTTTTTCTGATTTATAAAATTATATTTAAAACAAAAAAAAAAAAAATCATATTTCTTAAAATACATGAATCGTTATGTTTCTTGGTATCAGCGATGAATTCATCACTGAATAGATTGATTAATTCATTGCTGAGAAAAGATTTATTGTGATTAAATATTTTGGAACTTTGATTTGTTTAATTTTAACTGATTATTTCAAAGAACTGAATAAAATGATGTGATAAGCTGAAAAGATTTTAAAATAAGTTAAAAAAAAAAACTGATTCCCATTTTAACTCATTGATCTAAAAATAAAAATATTTAAATAAATCAGAGTTGTATTTGTCTTTAGATGGCGATAGAAAATATTATACTTTTGATGTTGATTGTAATGCGCAATTTCAACAATACTTTGTTTTATGTCGTTATCAACTGCCGCCACCACCTTCTAAGGGTTTCTTTTTTTTTGCTTTATTTTTAAAAATTGTGATAAGATTCGGAGCTGTTAACTTGTGCATTATGGTAGTAAAACACATATGATACAATTATACAAATTTATATCAAATTGAATGAGCAATTTCAAATATCTTCGACAATCGAACCATTAAGATTTACAAATTAAATAAAATTGTTAGGAAAATGGTCAAATCAAATGTTCGAATCTTTAAATCATTCCGTTTCTTTTATGAATCGAATATAAAAGGATGCTTTAAACAGAAAGAATGGCAAATTCAGAAACTGTAATAAAAGAAAAATTCATTATAAATACTGATAATAACAGTGTGCAAGAAGATATACGAGATAGATCATAATGAACCATCTTAAACTTAATGAAGTTAATTTTAGATTTCTACAGAATTATTTCCTGAATGGAAAAAGAAGAAGGTTTCATCCGGCTACCAACTTTGTTGTAGCTTTCTAATACTGTTAAAAAATTTAACTGATTTTTTCAAAATAAAACTTTGAAAAACCAAACGCTACACTAATTTCACCTAACATTACTATGGTAGTAATATCACTTATTTATTTATAGTTCAAGATTATGATTTGATTCTTCATTTCATTGTCATATAAATAGTTATTATTGGAAAGATATTATCACAGTAATTCTTGTTAATTAGAATAAGTCAGGGATAAATACTTCGTAGTAATATTGTTTAAAAAAATATTGTAATAAAGAAAAATTAAGATTTTCTTTTGATTCTTTTATTCAAATGTTTGATAGTAAGAAATTATTTTTTTTTTTTTTTTTTTTTTGAATCTTTTACTTTATTAAAAATTTTCACTTATGTTTTTTTGTCAAACAAATTAGCTTACTATGACTAATCAAAATTACATTTTTTTTTTTTTCGTCGTTCTTCTAACTAAAATTAAATTCATTTATTTTATTTTTCAATGAAAAAATTAACACATTTTTTTTTACACTGAAATTAACAACAAAAAGAACTGCTGATGTAATTTGGTAGTTTTAACTTAAATAATCTTATGGATGACAATGATTATTTGTTGAATGATAATAGTAACTTGTTGAATTATAATAACAATTCAGAATGATAATATTTGTTAGAAAATTCTAAGAATGAAATAAAACCAATCAGAACAACAAAACATTATAATCCGAACAAAATTTGCAAATGAATTTTGGAAATGTTTTGAATATGAAAGATTTAAGAGAATTGTAATCTTGTCGAAAATGCAGTAGCAATTTCTTGTTGACAGCCAATCTTTCTCCTCAACCTTATGCTAATATTAAAAATTGAGCTTTAAGTTAACTTACGTTTCCAAAATTTCAAAGCAACAAAAAAAAAAAAAAAAAACAGAACAAAATTAAACCAAACATCAGAGATAATTTTTAATAGCATAAATAAGCCTAAAATAGCAAAACTAACATCTTGGATTCCTTCCTTGCATTATTATGATATATATTATAAAGTGTAACATAGATATCATGACAAAATGTATGTGCAAGAATTCTTTTCTAAATTTAAATCAAGCTAATCATTTGAAAGTATATTGGATAGAATGGAGCCAGAAAAAAAAAAAAATCGTTATGAATTTTCCTATACAATTTGACCATAATTCAAGAAATAAAATTTCAAAACTGATATCAGCCAATATTAGTTTTTGAAATTATTGCTAGTATTATTGTTTTGTAGAAAAAAAAAAACAAACTCTTAACGTAATTAAAAGAATATTATCAATTATTCTATTACATATTCTCAGAGTGAGTTGTTGACAGCGAAAACTATGGAAAATTAAGATATATATTAGATAAAACAATAGTCGAATTGCAAGTTAATGGTGTTAATCAAATAAAGCGAATTTTATACTATTATATTATATAGTTAAGAATTTATCCACAAAATTTATCAGTCAGTTTATAATGGTTTTCATGAATTGAATGATAAAATTTTCTTATAGAATTGAATCATAAAATTCTTTTTGACCACTTTTTCATATAGCTCATTGAGGTGAATTCTTAAAAATTCATCAGATGAAATTTCGTTAAATTATTTTCTTGAAGTTTGATGCAAATTTTTGTTCAATATTTTCTACCTAACAGCACTTATCATTTTATACCTCAAAATTTTGCTTTCAATGTTATTCGATTTTTCTAAATTGTTTAACTTCAAATTTATTAACTTTAAATTGAACTCTTTAAGATGTATGTTAACATCAACTGTGAATTTTTAAAACCAATCATTCTATCAAAAAGTATGAAATTTAAATAAAATGATAAGATTTAATATCATAAGATTTTTTCGTTTTAAGATTCATTATATGTGCTAAAACAAGAATAATTCACAAATTTAATAGGATGAAATTTCTTCTTTTAAAGTAAACACTTATTTTGGTCTACAAGTTAATCTATCGGAGTTTTTAAAAATTCAGGATCGAAAAATTTGCTGAAAGCTGGAAAGCTAGAATATAAAAAACAAAAAAAATGATTTGATTGGTAAATTGTTAACTTCATAAGCAAAAAATTGCTGTATTACTGTAATTGCTTTTGAAAATATAAAATGCAATTTTAGCAAATTTTGTTTAAAACTTTAAACTTTAAATTTCCTATGCATCACTCAATTAAACTCGAATTTAGCAACCTTAAACAGATTATTTTTTATTTATAAAGCATTTCATTTCTTTCATTTTCACTTATCCATTAATCCCAGTATCCAAAAAGTATAACAAATATTAACAGTTAGATTAAAGTTAAACTTTGAGCACAGTAAAAACTTCTGTGAATTGCACTACGGCAGTTAACAAGTTAACAAAACAACAATCTTATTCTTCAAATTCTGTCTATAATATTTTCATTAAATTTTATCAGTTAATTGATTGCTTATCAGTTGATTGACTAATTTCTACAAATAGTTTCTCTTGTTACTATCATTCATTTATCATTTGACGCATGACATTTATCACTCATCACATGCAATGATTTTAAAAAGAAATTAGCAAAATCAATAAATTAATTCCAGAAATTTTCATTAAACCCTATGTTTCATAAAAGTTTTGTTTTGCATTTTAAGGAAAATATTATTTGCTAATATTTTTTCTTATTAAAAAAAAATATATCACATATCGATGAAAGAAGAGAGCAATGCTCGAAATAATTTTAAAATGATTATTTCATTATTGATTAAATTTTTTTAATGTTATCAAAAATTAAAAAAAATTTGCTATTCATGGATTTCTGTTTGTAGCAAAAAAGCAATGTAATAATTTAAACATTTTCAGTGATTGCATTTGTTCATTTAAGACAAAAAATTGCATTTTTTTAAAAATTTACAAATTAATTAACAAAATTTTTTTAAAAATTTTTTTTTAATTATTTAATCTTTTTTTTTGTTTACTCAATTGGATATAAAGTAACAGAAAATCGGCATATAGAATATTTTAAAGTGATAATCCATAAAATTTATTTCTTCTTTGTCGAGTGATTTGTTTTGAAAAATTAAATGTTAAATATGAAAAGAAAATTGGCAGAGCTTTGAATTTCATTAAAATGTTTCAGTAATAATTCCAGCATAATAAATACGAAGTATTTGTTATCTTCTGAACACATACAATTACACATTGTTCGCTATCACTTTACCTTAATTACTTTGATAAGAGTGAAAGTTAAGTGAACATTAAAAAATGAAATATAGTACTTCATAATTTTGAAGTGTAAAATAAGAAAAAATTTAAACACAACAAGATAATGGAATAAAAAAGAAATGCCTGGATTTAAACTTTGAAATGAATTATTTCATTTTATTTGAATTTAGAGTTTAAAGCAAATTATTTCAATGTATTTTCATATTATTTTCTTATAGTTTACGTTAAAATAAAAATAATAATAATTAAAAAGTATTAATTCACGAAAAACTCAGTTTCTTATGCTTAACACAACGTTATGTTTAATAATTGGTTATTATTATTAAAGAGAAACCATTGTACATTACTAATCTATATTTAATTGAATTTTGCATCGATCAAACTTAATTGCAAAACTTTTGTCATAATTGAATGCAATAAGCATTGTTTATATGTGTGGCCCAAATGTTATAACATTCCTTACAATTATCAAAATTGATATCAATTGGCGCTAATGACTAGTATAATTATAAGTAAACGCAAATACTTTATAACTTTGATAATCGCTCTTGTCAAAATTTTTCGCAATTCTAAATTTTATAATTTCAGCAATTATGACATAAAAATTATGAACTATGGTTATAATTTTTAAGTCAATAGAATTAGTTTCTAATTCAAAATTGTGTTCCTTTTTTTCAAAATTGATCTCTGAAGTTAATTCTGAAATACCAAGTGTATTTTAAGATCATTTTATTTATTCTATCAATTTCTGAATTAACTCATTCATTTGTTTGAAATGTCCATAAAAAAACAAATAATAATTGCAATTGTTTTTCTTTTATTTCTTTCTTTAGATTTAAAAGAAAATTTCACTTTTTAATTTTAAAATTTGATATAATAACAATTTGTTTAAAACTCCATCAATTCGTGATAATACCGCTTTATTTAATAAAAATTGAAAGTTTTCATATTTTTGAAACTTTTTTTTCCAATTAATAATAATACATAAATATTAATGATAGTTAGATCAGCTTGGATCAAACAACAAATATTTTGTCGTTTTTTTATTGCAAAGTTAACATTTAATGACAGATGAAATTGTAAATCGGAAATGATCGATAATGAAGAAATTGTACAGATAAGATTACATAAATGAAGAATTGTGCCATGTGATAACAATTATCATTAATGTCACTGGGAGGAATCGAAATGTTTGTTGGTTTTTGTGTGCTTTTTTTTTTTCTTTTCTTAAATTTTTTTTCTACTTTAACAAGAGAAATTTTTTTTTTTACACCTATTTAAAATTTTAACAAAAAGTTTTTTTTTAAAAAAAAAAACTTGGACTTTCCTTTTTATAACAAAATTGAAGTTAATTCATAGTTAGCATCAAAAGTTAAAATTTTTGATGAAAAATTGAAGTAAATTGTAGCAGTTAATATGAACCTTATTTACAAATAACACCGAACAAATAATAAATAACATTAATGAACTAAAATGAAACAAATCAGTTTTATCCAACTGGATAGCCACCACCTGCCAAATAGCCACCACCTGGTATACCGTATCTGAAATTTGAGGAAAAAGGTACGATTAATTTAGACAATGATCATGATGGTATAAAATAATTATTAATCAGTAAATATGATGCATCATGATATGATATCAATTATCGCCGTACTGGATATATTTATCAATGGTCATTCGCATAATAACATATATCAAAGTATACATTAATTTTTCCTTTAATAGTTGTAAAAGTATTTAAATTCAAAATTGATTTGTCAATAAAAAGCAAACAAAAAAATGACTTACTTTCCACTTGGAGGTAATGCATACCTAAAATGAAAATATTTTGAAAATGAAAATTAAAATAACCAAAAAAAGAGTGGTGAAGAGTATTTGTGAAAATTAATTAATAAAAAATGAATTCAAGTTACTTTTCGAGTTTGTTTTCATTTTTATGAGCAACACAAATTGCAATATAAATAGCAAATGAGCAAACAATTAATTGTTAAACAAATTATTTCATTAAAATAATTCCGAAAATAATCATATATCAAACGTTCCGAATGACTGATTTTCTTTCGAAATTTAAATCGAATTAATTGGTCTAATTGACAGAATGTCGTTTTCAAGTTATTAATAAATTTCACTTTCCAGGTCAGATGTGACATTACAATTTAAGATAAAATGAAATTCAAGTCAAAAAAAGTTATAAAATTAAATGTAAGTCAAGTTTCCAAGATAATTTATAGCAAGAAAAGTTCTTGTAGAATTTAAATTTATTCCTAAATTTCAGTTGATAAAGATATTAGCTAATATAAATGAGACAGAAATGATGAACGTTTGCTTCAACTTTATTATTTATGCTGTAAATCTTCTTTTTTGAAAAATTCGAATCTTATAACATCATACAGCCATTATCACAAGTTTAATTAAATAATCGTAATGAATCATTGCTTTTTAACTGATACTTGATTTAAATAATTTAGAATAAAATAAAAACAATAGAGCATACCCGCCACCAATACCACCTCCTTGACCTTGACAACAGCAACCACCACAGCAACCACCTAGATTTAGTATTGGTAAACAAATTGGTGGCAATTTTAAGCAACAACATTGTGTCTGACCTCCACATCCACCACCAAAACAAGCGCTTGCATGTCCTATTAAAGCGAAGACGAGGAGTAAAGCAAGCTTCTGTAAAATTTTAATAATTCTTTTTTCAATATTTTCCGAAAAATTTGAAACACAAAAAAATTTCAAAAATGTTATATTTATTGAAAATGTTATAAAAAATGTTATACTCATTCTACAAAAATAAATTTCATTTAAAAAATTGTAGAGGAGTAGGAAATAAGTTTGAAATTAAAAACAGATCAACAAGATAAATAAATAAAAGAAAACTTACATATTTATCGCAGCATTTTTTTTTTTTTTTTTTATATCAAATTTATAAAAAGTTAGATATGCAAGATGCGATAATTGGAAAAAATAAATTTTTTTTTTTGTATATTTTTTCAATGAATTTTTAAAATTTAAGTTAATATTTTGAAAACTATCTTTTTATTCCTTTTTGTTTCTTTTTTCTTTTTTTATATTCGATACAACGACGTATTTGAAATGGAAGTTTGGAATTTTATCGTCGTAATTTGAAAAAAAAAAAAAAAAAAAAAAGAAGGATGATGAATAATATAATTTAATTTTAAAAAAATGGAAGAGAAAATTAAGTTGGAAATCTAACAAATTTTATCATTTTGACCAATCAAACCATAATATTTATGCCATTGTTGTACGAATTACATTTGTGGTCATTGTATTAAACAAGTTTTTCATTTTTTTTTCCCACAATTTTATACTTTCTATTTTGCAGAAAAAAAACGTTACGTTCATTTTTCAATTCAATCTATCATTTCGTTTCTATTTTAATCGAAATTAAAATAAATTCTACTTCAGTGAAAATGAAAATAACTTTTATATTACGAAAAAGATTGATGAATATGTACATCAAAAATGAATGAAAATTTTTAAATTTCAAAAAAGGAAAAAAAAAAATTATAAATTGTACTTTATATTTTTATAGATACTTGCAAAAAGTTTGCCGTAATTTATTTGTTTTTTAAAATTATATTTTTATAGAGTATCATCAAATGTAATATTTTGTATATGGTTGCAACTGTTCAAGAAATGTCCTTTTTTCTTTCGAAGCAATTCAATTTCTAATTAATTACATTATTAATTCATTGTGTAGTGCCTTTTTTTCGGTACAGTAAATTTTGAATTTCGTATTGCAATTAATTATTTCTTAATTTATCTATGGAAATTTTTTTTTTTTCGTTTTTCTTATGAGTATTTTTTTAAATTTAATTCCTAATTAAATTTATTGTTATTTTACACCTTTCACCTAGTTTTAATTTCGAATAAATTTAGCTTTAACTCATTGTGGGAAGAAGTAAATCAAAACTGAATCTTTTAAAATAATTGCTTAATTAAACAAATTTGCTATTACATTATTTTAACAGCAAAGGCAGTACTGAAAATTTGTAATAATTTTATCAAATTTGCCATAATTGCTATTTTATTACTGAAAATTTATTATTTCTAATTTTTCAGATAATGAGACCTAAACCTTCACATAAATTATTGGAAACGTTTTATTGAAAAGCAATTTGAATCTTATTTAATGCTTCGAAATTATCTTAGTCTGATGAATAGTCAATTTCTTATAAATTACTAATCGATGATTTATATTTAGATATTTGATTTCCTTATTTTTAGATTATTTTAATAACTTTATTTCACATAACTATCATAATGAGATACCGTAGTACTACTATTATTAATGTACATTTTTTATTGTACATAATATGTTTTTACACAATATGCCAAATATGATGCAACAGTAATAATGATATAATAATTTTGCGCATCATGTACAGAGTTACAATTTAATGATAAATTTACAAATGATAAATTTGCATTTATCATTAACTAGTAATATTGAACGTAATGCTCAAAATTATTATGCCAATATTATTATTACCATTGCCATTATCATATATGTTACAACTTCTTATTATCTATTACTACTAACTACTAAACAGATCAATAAAAAAAATGAAGAAAATTACCATATTTGAATGATTTTGTGTGATAGTATCAATTACTGATTACGGCACTCTAAACAATTTGCAATAACTTTCGAATGCAATAATTGGTTTGAAAGATGAATTGATGGGATAGGAATTGATTGAATGAATAGAATGAAGAAAATAATTTAGATAAGATGAGATATATGGTTGGTTAGCTATTATTGATGGATGATGAATTGTAAAATGATTAGATGAGGAGCGCTTTTATATCCATTTTCACAAAAATTATAGCACCACCTCCTAAATATTTTTTTCTTTTTTTACAATAATGATGAAAATCTTTCTTGTAAAAATGTTATCCTAATTTTTTCTTTTTTTTTTTTTTCTTTTTTTTTTTTGTTTTCTCACTTACTTTTTCTTTTTGTTTATTTTCTTTTCTTTTGTTATCTTTTTTGCCTGTCATTTGAAAGAAAAAAAATTGTATTGTTATTTGCGCCATTTGAAGTGTAATTATGAAATTGATAGTAGTAGTAAATAATAGTGTGTAAAAAGGATTAATAGGCACTGATAGGTGTAATAGACAATTACCAAATTTTGGTGATATAAAACGAAAGGAGAAAGGATTGACATTCATGGATAGAACAGGTAATCAGATTTTCAGTTGTTTTTCTTCCCTTCTTTCAAATTAAATAGATTGTAACAAAATGTTTAGTTAGCGCACAATATTGGCATGATGACATTATTTTCCTTTTTTTTTGCGTTCTTGTTTGTTCATTTCGTTTTTTTTTCGTTCATTGGAATTTTTCTCTCATTTATTCTAATTTAATTTTTTTTTTTGTTAAAAATAATTGCTAATTTTTTTTCCGTTATCTAGATGGATTTGAACAGATATTTTGCCTATGTAAATATATTCCATCACTTTTTTTGCTATCAATGAAAATATGAGGCAAAAATAAAGATGAGAATGCATTTTTTTTTAATTATTATATTATATAAAAATATATAAAGTAACAAAAAGGAAATGAAAGGAACTGTGTAATTTATGATTATCAATCATTAAAAATATGCAATCATTATGACTTCTTGGAAATTATTTATTTATTTTTAATATAAAAAAAAATATAATGCCATTACAAATATACACTAATTAAGATTTTTTACTAATTTCTTTTCTATCTTCATCTTGAAAAAAAAAAAAAAAAAAAAAAATAAAAGAAAATATGCAATTTGAACTTATCAAATCATAGCAAATATATATTGTCATTCAAATTTTGTATCGAAGGAAAAACAAATGGTTTATTTATGTCACACAATTTGTCATTTTCACACTTCAACATTGTTGATATGTAAATTTTAACAAAACCTGATTTTTAAAGTAATTTTTTTGCTTCCATTTTTTTTCTTCTCTTTTATTTTTTATAATATATTATTAAAAATTGAAATATTTCTAGGATATTGTAAAGATGAGCGAGTAATTATTACTACTGATAATAGTAGTAAGTAATGATCAGTTCATATGATAGTAATTTTTGAGTTGTGATGACAAAGCTATTAAGAATGGAAATAATAATAATGAAAATAAATTTGATAATAACAGGAATACTTGCGCTTCTATAATACAGTAAATTTAGTGTAAAAAAGTAAGTTTAGTAAAGTAATGTAGTATTGTTTTAATTGCTGATGTAATATCAGTAAATTTATAATTACAATCATAATGATTGTATTTGTAACACAAAGACAGGAAATTCTATATCGAAACAAAACAATGTTACTTGTTATCGGTATTAAACCATTTGTAAATTGATGATTAGAAAATATTTTTTTTAATCTATTTTGCAAATTAAACGAATATTTATCAAAAATTTGAGCTAAATATTAAAACTGAGAAAGAATGAATTCGATTTATCAGCTAATTAATAGTGTTAGATATAAAAAGTAGCAAAGAATAATTAGCCGAAAGAGATGTTAATTGTGGAAAAATTAAATTCATCATATAAATTCTAAGAACATCATTAAAATTATCCATAATAAAATTAAAATCATCTTAGCTTAAAACTTTTAAAATGAACTAAAACAATCTTAACTTTAAAATCTTTAAAGCTAATCTTGGCAATATTTCCTTTTTTACTTATTTTACCTATTTTATAAATGTTAATAAAAGACCTAATTCTAAAAATATTTAACTTGGAAAAACATCACGTTATTGCTATAAATAAAAATGAATCAAACTATTTTATCATTTTTTCGGAACAAAAATTAAATGGTAATCACTTTCGGCATTTCGTTTTTCTTCAGTTTTTTATTTTTGAAAAATAAAAATGAGGTTATTGTCCCATCATTTTTCTTTATTTCAAATATTGTTGAGACATAAACTTTAAATATAAGATTAAATTTTAATTTTTGCAAACTGTTGAGGCAAAAAATTCCATACAATAAAAATAACGTTTAAAGTTGCTAATGGTTTTTTAACAAAGAGGGTAAAATGAGGATAACAAGAAGATAAAAAACTCTGTCTTTATTAATTTTAATTAACTAATCAAGTTTCATTCATATTCAATGCCATCACTAGTGATAATTTTTATTAAAAATAACATCAAAGTGGATAAACTGTTTGTCATTTAATTTTGATCGAAATTTCTATTTTTGAACAGAAAAAAGATTGTTTGTATGTTTCAAAATTGGCATTTACAATTGTTGGGGAATCATTTATTCCAATATTATTATTGAAAATTGTCGACGTAAAATATTGCCTTGAGTAAAATAGCAAATCACATAATAAATAACCATAAAATTCAAAAAAGAATTAAAATCCACTTAATTGAATTTAAGCTCCTCAAACAATACTTAAAATAATTTCAAAAATATCGAGTTATTGTTGAAATATAATTATTATACAGTCATCATCAATTCTGCGCGAAATATTACCAAGTCTTATCATCAATCATTCAGTGATCAATTATTTAAAAAACGAAACTGAAACTGGTTTAACTTGCTATAATTATGCATAAAAAATGCAAAATAAATAAATGAGGAATATTAGCATATTGATTTATTGGTTATAACTTCAAATTATAGGATTTGAACGATTAAATGTTGCCTGGACTTTCAGTTCCGTTTGTTATTTACATTTTTTGCTTTACGTTTGTTTTTTTTTTTTTTTTTTTTTTTTTTCTTTCAGTATTAGCGTTAACTCCAAGATTTAGTTAAATAATGTATGCAATAAAAAGCTTGAACTTTTGGCATGAAATATTAATTGAGCTAAAAATAGATATATAATTATCAATTCTTGTGATATCAACATTTGTATCATTTTCATTTAATATTCCATTAAATTCGCATTACTTCATTTTTTATATTAATAAATTGTCATCATGAATTCTTTTAATTTTGTTTTATGGTGAGAAATTTAAAGCATTACCTTGTATACCTTGCATAATAAATGACAAAAATTCGTTTGCATGAATGAACTTGTAAAATTTTTTGCAAAAATTTGCTTCAATTAGAGTAAATTAATATGATTTTCATACTAATTTACGTTTCATTCAAAAAATCATTGAAAAATAAAAACTCAAATAAAAATTGGTGTCAAATTTCTGTCTAAAACATTTTGCTACAACAAAAAAAGATGATACATATGTGAAGAATACTTCAGCATGCAAAAAATCAGACTTAATAGTGTAAAAAAAACAAGTAAATAAAATTAATAGCTACAAAAGAACAAAAGAATGGACAGTTTTTTCTGTCAGGAAAAAATATAAAAAGATTTGAATCATTTATTTTTTTTAAACATTTTTTTCATTAATTGAATATACACTGAAAAAAACAAAAGAATTTGAAAGGAGAAAACAAATTTATCTTCACTTGTATCAAAATGATATATTCATTAAATCATCTGTTATTTTAGTTCACCCATAATTCATTTTGAGACAATCTATAAAATGGTTCTTGATCCTTCCGCTGATAGATTAAATTTTACGAAAAAAAAATTGATGCTACCAGAAACCTGATGAAATTAATGTGAAATATCCTGAAATTAAAAAAAAAAAAAAACTTATGAAAGAAAAATTTTTAAATCGGGATTTTTTTTAAGCAAAGGCTCTATTCTATCAAATTTCCCAAATACGGTAAGAATTATCTAAGTATAAAATTATAAGTAATTAATCATATCCTTTTCTAAAACAAAAGGCAAAAAATGTGTCACATCGGAAGCTGCTGTTAACCAAGCCAAATTTAGATATTTTTAGTTAATTAATCACATTTGAATTAACATGTTGTCATTTTATTCTAATTAAGCATAAATGATTCTACAGTTAGCAATCTGTTAAGGATATTGTTTCTTCTTTTTTGTTTTGTTCTCAAGAAATGATACTTTATTATCATGAATAATAATAAATTTATATTCTTTTTAGTAATATGATTATTTTTGAGGGATAAAGAGATAGTATTATAAATTTCAATAACTGTCCAATTTCAAAGATAAGCAAATGATGTTATTACAAAATTTAACTTGTTCAAATGTACCAAAGAGCAATACCACTGTGTTATTTATACATATTTCTTTATCGTAACACTTACATATCATTTAGTTGTAACATCTTTATTCAGTTTTTTAAATAAATGAAACATGTTAATGATGAATACAAGTTTTTAATTTGAAAAAAAAATATATATATATATATTATTGCACAGTAATTGTGTTCAATTTAATTGATACAAATGAAATTAATTATTAATTCTAATTCCAAAACAAACATAATTTTCTTCTTTTCTTTCACAAAAATTGTATTGAAACTAAAATATTTGTTAGAATTTTTTTTTTTTTTCTTCGCAAACCATTTTGTAAAAGAATGCTGCATATTAGTTAATTTAATAGAAAATTTTTGTTGTGCCGAACATCAAAATAAGAAGAAATAATATTAATTAATTAGTATGAAAGATAAAACAAAAAAATATTTTGACAAAATATTGACTTTACTTTCTTTCCATAATTTTCCGAAAGTTAAAAAATCATTCACTACAAGATTTGCCTATCGCTGTAATCT